ATTTTGACTCATTTCTACTTCTATATGTCTTTCTTCATTCGTGATAGGCTAAAAGACCATTTAGTCAGAGTTCAGTATTTAGGGATGTGACCACAAGGTGGCAGTCTTCTCCATCTGGTGCAGAATTGGTAGAGGTTTCCTTGCAGTGGATTCTGAAAGAATAGGCTTTTTCTTAAAGGCCGGGTAGAAAATCAAGAGAAGCTGCTATAATTGTTAGTGTGAAAAAGGAACATCCTGATAACAAAAGCAGCTCTCCTTAGTAGACTGCAAGTCTGGATTGCTCTTAATTGAGAAGAACAATGAAGACATCTAATCCTGCTTTATTCATGTTCTTGTGGCTGCAGCTGGACTGTGAGTTGAGGATTTGGGGGAAATAGAGGATATTAGCAGGGGTTCTTTAGACATCTGGGAAGAATGGCTTTATGCGGGTATTCACTAGTCACTGAAGAAAAGGAAAATTCTGAAGAGTAATCACATGCCAACAAAATCTTTTTTTTTTTTCATTTTCTTTCTGAATAGGGGTTAGCCAAGGAGAGAAGGTAGAGCAGCGTCCTTCTACCCTGAGTGTCCAGGAGGGAGACAGTGCTGTTATCAATTGTACTTATTCAGACAGTGCTTTAGACTACTTTCCTTGGTATAAGCAAGAGGCTGGAAAAGGTCCCCGACGTATTATAGACATTCGTTCAAATAAGGAGATAAATCATATCCAAAGATTCATTGTTGTGTTGGATAAGAAAGCCAAACACTTCTCCCTGAACATCACAGCCACCCAGCCTGGAGACTCAGCTGTCTACTTCTGTGCAGCCAGTGCACAATGCTTCCCAGACACCTGCAGCCTCTACTCAAACCTGCCACTGGGCTGAGCCCCACCTGCTTCCTTTGTCACAGTCTTCCCATAGCATTTGTCTCAATGCAAATGAAAACTAGCATATTAACATTAAATACATATAGTAAACAGGTGGAGTTCATTATGATTCAGTTGCTTAATAATTTTGCTTAATGTTTCTTAACGAAATCTTCCAACTCTTTTGTGTATATCTAAAGTGAACAGCATGATGTTTTGATATACATAAACAATAAAAATTGGACAGATAGATAAGAAGATGCATAGAGAAGGCATGGGGGAAGGAATATCCAAATCCAGTTATCTCCACATAATCAGCAATCCTAAAGCTGTGCTTAGTGGATTCTTAAGGGGAATTAGAACTGTTTTGTTTGAACTCTAGACTTGGAAGATGAGTTTACACCTGCTGTTTAGATTCTTCTCATATAAATAACCCCTTGGGATCAATATAATAATCCCTGTTATTGGTGGGCTCTTGACTTTTTAGATGTTGTATTAGTTATTTTTTTTCAGATTAGAAAACATTACACACCAAACATAGAAAATATGTATGATATAAAAAATGTGAAATTGATAATTTCATACCCAGATAATCTTTCTAATATTTAGTCAAAGAATACAAAGAAGTACATATGTCCTATGGCAAAGAAGTCTAGAGATCTATTATATAGTATATGGTATATAGCTAATTATACTGTATTTGGGATTTCTGTCTAATAAATAGACTTTAGCTGTTTTTTGTCAAATACAAAAATTTACTATGGAAGAGAATAGATATATAATTTGCTTCACTATGTAATCACTTTACTATCTATTTTCATCTGGAAACATTGTATTTTAAACTCCAATTATATAGAAAACAATTTGTTTTAAAGAATCCTATTTATTTCCATTTATCTATGCCTTTCTTTCTTGATAAAACTCCATTTTATAAAGATAGTTATATTCAACCTGTATAATCAGAAAAATAAGAAATTATACCCCATTTGATTCAAATGTATGAAATGTCAAGATCATTTTACTGTCATGTGTAACTAATAAAAAAATAGAAAAATAAAGATAGTTATATTTACTCCTCAACATTTAAATTTATTTTCCTTTACTTTTATTTCTAGTGTATGTGAAAAAAATCTTTGTATTTTCCCACTGCTTTATTCAAGTCTTACTAGTAGGTTACAGAAGGAATTTGGTTAATGATTCACAGATGGGTCACTACAAAGTTCTCTGTCTTCATGTCCGGACTGAAGCAAATGTTATTATCACAAGTTTTTTTGTTAAATTATATCTTCTAGTGATGCTGATAAATCAATACAAGTAAAGAACCTGTATAAATAAGAAATTCCCTAATTCTCTGACTTCTGGTCAAAGGTAGGAGCATTTTAATAGTTCCCATCTTAATGAATACAACTAGCCGTCGGTGTGAGGAGGATCCCTCTTTGCTGGGTCATGGACGTTAATTATCAGCTAATTGGATTGTTCTTGTAGTCTTTAAAATAAATTAGATTTAAAACATCTGAATGGAAGTAGATAATATTGTGGCCCGTCTTTCAATTGGCTGTCCTTCTTTCCTTCAATATTATCACTAGCTCCTGTCCTGGAGAAGGAAGTGGAGTCCTTATTAGTCCACTTCCCCCAAGACTGGTCATGGAGTGAAAGGGAAGTGTGGCTTTCATTTTATCGCTAAGTTTTATGGTATAAGAGAGAGGATATGTTATTATTTACTTAAAAGATCTATCTTGCTAAGTTGACAATTTATCCAAAAGAATGAACACACACACACACACCAAAATCCTCTGGCCACAGTGTGCAGAGTCAATATCTCAGATCCAGTCACATTCAAGCTTTGGACCCACAACATGGTTGGTGTGTGTTTTCCTTTTGAAATAAACTTGGTGGCTTATTGCAAGAGAAGTGTATTTTCTGTCATGATTCTGGAGGTCAGAAGTTGGAATCAGTTTATTTGGGCTGGAATCGAGATGTCAGTAGGGCTGCGTTTGTGCAGATGCTGTAGGGAGAATCTGCTCCTGGCTTCCCCAGCTCTGATGGCCACCAGCATTTCTGGGCTTGTGGCTGCCTCCTCCAGTCTCTGCCTCCACAGTTACCCTGGCATCTCTCTTGCATTGTCAAGTGTCCCTCTTGCAAGCACACACAAGATTGCTTTCAAATTTTATATAATACAGTATACTCTCTAAAGATCTCAGGATCTTAACTTAATCACACCTGTATATAAAGTAACTGGCATTCCAGGGGTCAGGGCCTGATTTGTTTTGGTGGTGCTATTTTGCTTCCCACAGTGGGTATGGCTGGGCCTTGCTTTGCACAGTGAATAAGTAATATTATGTATTAGACTGAGTCCACTCACAAAGATAGAAAGTGCAATCACTTTATTTTCCTGGTGTTTCAAATATCATTTCTTAGTAGTTCTATCTGTGAACACTGAATTCCAGTGCACCATACATATCTGTGTAACCACCGCACAATCATGACATGGAGCAGTATCATTACCTCAGAAACGCTTGTCTCTCCTATTGTAATTACACCCTCCCACCCCTAAGTCCTGCCAAACTGTGTTTCCTTTTCTATTTGTGACTTTACAAAGTGTCCCAGGAAGAGAACCATACAATTAATTAATTAGTCAATTAATTAACTTTGGTACTGGGCATTGAACCCAGGGTTGCTTAACCACTGTGCCACATCCCCAGCCCTATTTTATTTAGAGACCAGGTCTCGCTGAGTTGCTTAGGGGCTTTCTAAGTTGCTGAGTCTGACTTGGAATTTACAGTCCTTCTGCCTCAGCTTCTTGAGCCATTAGAACCAGACAATTTAATCATTATGAGATTTCTGAGTCTTGGATAAAGGAAGCAAATGCCATTGGGTACACATGAGACCTCCATCTCTGCATCAACCTCAATTGCTTCTACTCCTGATGTTTAAAACTTTTGTCATTTCATTTAAAAAATAATTACCTCAAATGTTTCTATTCCCTTGGAGATCTGATTTCTATTTCTATAAAAAAAAAAAACCTCCCACTATTATGACAATTGATAAAGGAGAGTTTCAGTTGAGTGTTATGTCAGCTCATACAATCAGGGTGAGTCATTCTTTCTACATAAGTTTAACTGCACCAACTCTATCTGCATTATTCATCAGTAGAGACATTTCTAATTAAAATTTATTTATTTTTAAGTCCAATTTTATTGATCAAAAATCACTTAGGCTATACTTCTTGAGGCTGGGTAATGGCTTAGATTTTTCTGGAAGTGGCCACTGAATGACATATTCAACAATTCTTTAGGTTTAATTCACTACCAATGGCTTCATAGACCTGAAATATAGCACTAATGTGGCCATTGCCTCAAGTAAATCCTGTACCTAATCAAGTTACTTTATTAGTACAAGAACAATGTAGGAAAAATTAGAAATATATAACATTCTATCATTAAGTTGAGAAAATACTACTTAAAATATGAAAATAAAGGATAGGACAGGAGATATCACATCAAGTAGTTCCAGTCAGCTAGAGAATTGTGTTCTGACAGTCTCAAAGGCACTGTCTACATTGTTCCAGGGCTTGTACTTCAAGGATCTGGGTCAGCACTGATCTTCTGAGGACTGTCTGCTTATGGACATTATCTGCAGAAGTCTACTTAAAATATTTAATGTGAGTTACTTTTGGATTTTTGTCACTTTAGGATGAATGATGTCATACTAGTGGTTAAAAGCAATTAGGATCAGCTCCTTGTACTTTATCTGCTGAACTGGTAGTAAACAGTACTTAGCTCCTTTCTATAAGTTTCAAAGGCATCTTTCTCTGGAACATTTCAGAATACCATGTCACTTAGTTTTAGGATATATAGAAGCTGGTTAAATGAGAACCAGAAAAGACAACCTGTTGGCATGTTGATGATAGGATTTATTAATGAGTTATTTATCTAGTTAACTTTGTAAAGAATGGATTCTATATAATTTGGTAATCATGTGTACTGACTGGTGACTATATCATAGGTAGCCAACATATTAGTTTGTGTGAGGGGAGAAAGCAGGGCTGAAAGACCTGTAGGAGCAGCAGTGCATTATATAGGTAGCCTGTTTCCTGTTCAGGTGCAGCAGCAGCCCCTAGCACAGCAGATCCTCCCTCATCCTGTCAGGCTCCCCTCCCAGGGCAGAGTTCTGAAACCAAAATTTTCTTCTGAAGGAAGAAGGCAAACATGGTATTTTCCAGGCTGCTGAAGCTGATCATGGCATCAATGTGGCTGGGTAGGGATGGTTCCTATGGGAAGGGGCCTCCTCTGGACCAAAGGACAGAGGAGCCTTAAAGAGACTTGGGAGGGAGGTTAGCAGGGAGCAAAAATGTATATTTTTGTTCCATCCACTTGTCCCTAAACTTTCTGATTCTGTCCTTTTTCCTTCAGGATCCAGTTTTGCCCAGAAGGTGACTCAGGCCCAGCCAGCCATGTGGGTGCAGGAGAAGGAGGATGTGAGCCTGCTCTGCTCCTATGATGCAAGTGATACACGTTATGGTCTCCTCTGGTACAAGCAGCCCAGCAGTGGGGAGATGGTCTTCCTCATCCTTCAGAACTCTTACAGCCAGCAAAATGCCACAGAAGGTCGCTACTCAGTGAATTTGCAGAAGGCAAGCAAATCCATCCAGCTTGTCATCTCAGCCTCACAGCTGGGGGACTCAGGGGTGTATTTCTGTGCACTGAGAGAGGGCACAGTGAGAGGACTGTTGGAGGGAGGTGCACAAAAAACCCAGGGTCTGCCTGAGACAGCCACCTGCTGGAGGGACCAAGGCAGGGAGTGGGCACCTCAGACGGGAAGTGGGCAGGGCTGTGTCAGCTCATGTCTGGGGTGGGAGGGAAAACACTCACTCTGAGGAACCCCTCTCTAGGTTCATAGACCACATCAGAGTTCTCACTAATCAAACCAGCCCTAGTCCTGAATCTCTGGATTGAAGGTAGATTCAGAATTTTTCACAGGTTGAAAAAGAAGAATAAGCACAATAAATATTTTGTCATTTGGATATAAAATTTAGCTTAAAGAATTGGCTAAAGTAGTTCAGAAACATATGACTGTGAAAATTAATACAAATCTGTATGAACAGTTGCATTTTCAGAACTCAATTTCTATTAAGTATTTATTGAGTAAAGATTATGTTTCTAGTGTATTTTAAAATAAGGAAGGCCTTGAAATCTCTGTGTGTGTGTGTTTAAGAAAAATCATGCTGTTTTATACAATTTAATGAACTTAGGTTTGTTCTCCTCAAGTAAAAGCTACTCATATTGACTGTCTAAGTGCCTACTATACTACAAACTTTGTGCTAAGAGTTCCTTCCATCTTCTCAACAACCCTAGCATGGAACAGCTCCATTTGCATATTGAAAGTCTACTGTGTCACATTCATAAAAGCACAGTAACTAGTGGCTCTTACAGGGATAGGTGGAAGATCTACCCCAGAGATGGAAACCCCTTTACAGGTGGATAAGGGATTATTTTCCCCTAAAATAGTCACTATTCTTTAAAAATACTAAATTACCAATTTCAGTATAATATGTTCCTGCTTGCTTTATCAGTTTTATTCTTCTATTTGTTTCATTCTATTCCAATATCATAAAATAGTAAATTTTATTACATGCTAGGATAAATCACGACTCAGCAGTAAAGTTTACCATGAAATTTTTAGTAATTATTGCAGTTATTTTTCAACATAAATGTTAAAATCTGTCCCAATTTCTTCATATTCAATAACCCTCCATTAAATCAAATGAAAATAAAACATACAAAATCAAAGAATACTTCAAAACCAGAATGTTGGAATTACATTTATTGGCACATAAAATATCAACTTATTATCTTTTTTTTCAGGGAAGAGCTATTTTTTTCAATTATAAAGAGCCTTTTATGTTCTTCAATTATGTTTTGAGATTTCTTATATTTCTTTTTTTTTTTTTTGGCAAGGACAAACTTTACTTGTAATTTAATTCTTTCTGCCGTATTTCTGCTCTACTATTTCCTCCTATGGAATTGGTATTCTCAAACTTTCTCCCCTGACTTTTTTTAAAATTTAATTTTTATTATTACTTTTTGGTGCTTTTAGGTATACATGACAATAGGGCATAACTTGACATACTGTACATACATGGCATACACGCCATTACAACTAATTATGATCCCATTCTTGTGGTTGAAGATGATGTGGACTTACACTGGTCATGTATTCATATATGAGCACAGGAAAGTTATGTTCTCTTCATTTTAAAGTCTTTCCTATTCTCCTTCTCCCTCCCTTCTCTTCATTCCCCGTTGTGCAATCCAATGAACTTCTATACTTTCCCTCCTTACCTTCCCTTGTTATAGGTTAACATCCAAATATCAGACAGAACATTCTACCTTTTGTTTTTTGGGACTGGCTTATTACTCTTAGCATGATATTTTCCAGTTCCATCCTTTTACTGGCAAATACCATAATTTCATTCTTGTTTACAGCTGAGTAATATTCCATTGTATATAAATACCATATTTTCTTTATCCATTCATCTGTTGCAGGGTACCTAGGTTTGTTCCATAGCTCAGCTATTGTGAATTATGCTGCTATAAACATTGATATTGCTGCATCACTGTAGTATGCTGATTTTTAAGTCCTTTAGGTATAAGCTGAGGAGTAGGATAACTGGGTCAAAAAGTGGTTCCAATCCAAGTTTTCTAAGGAGTCTCTATACTGTTTTCCAGAGTGGTGGTTGTATCAGTTTGCAGTCCTACCAGCAATGTATGAGTGTACCCTGTCCCCCGCATCCTTGCCAACATTTATTGTTACTAGTGTTCTTGATAATTTCTATTCTGACTGGAGTGAGATAGAATCTCAGTGTAGTTTTACTTTGCATTTCTCTAATTGCTAGAGATGTTGAACATTTTTGCATTTTTAAAAATTATTTGTATTTCTTCTTCTGTGAAGTGCCTGTTCAGTTCCTTTGCCTATTTATTGATTGGCTTATTTGCTTGTTAGATGTTGAATTTTTTGAGTTCTGTGTATGTGTTGGAGATCAATGCTCTATTTGAGGTGCATGTGGTAAAGATTTTCTCTCATTCTGTAGGCTTTCTCTTCATGTTCTGGATTACTGTGAAGAAGGTTTTTAGTTTGATGCCAATCCATTTAATGATTCTTGATTTTACTTCTTGTGTTTTAGGAGTCTTATTGAGGAAGTCTGTTTCTGAGCTGATTTGATGGAGAGTTGAGCCTACTTTTTCTTCTATTAAGCTCAGGGTCTCTGGTCTAGTGCCAAGGTCCTTGGTCCACTTTAGGTTGAGATTTTTTCAGGGTGAGATATACAATCTACTACATATGAATTTCCAGTTTTTCCAGCACCATTTGTTGAAGAGGCTATCTTTCCTTCAATGTATGTTTACGGAGCATTTGTTTAGTATGAGATAACTGTATTTATGTGGGTATGCCCCTGTGTTTTCTATTCTGTTCCATTGGTCTTCAATTCAATTTTTGTGCCAATGGCATGCCATTTTTGCTACTATAGCTCTGTAGTATAATTTAAGGTCTTGCATACCTTCTGCCTCACTTTTCTTGCTAAGGATTGCTTTGGGTATTCTGAGCCTCTTAGTTTTCCAAATGAATTTTATGACTGGTTTTCTATTTTCATTAAGAATGTCATTGGAATTTTAATGAGAATTGCATTAAATGCGTATAACACTTTTGGTTGTATGACCATTTTGACAATATTAATTCTTCCTATGTGAGAGCATGGGAGATCTTTCCATTTTCTAAGGTCTTCTTCAATTTCTTTCTTTAGTGTTCTGTAGTTTTCATTGTAGAGGTCTTTTACCTCTTATATTAGATTTATTCCTAAGTGTTTTATTATTTTTTGAGGCTATTGTGAATGGAGTAGTTTTCCTGATTTCTCTTTCAGCTGAATCCTCATTGGTGTATGGGAATGCAATAGATTTATAGGTGTTAATTTTATATCCTGCTATGTTTCTGAATTCATTTATGAGTTCAAGAAGTTTTTTTTGTACAGTTTTTTTGTCTTCTAAATAGAATCATGTCATCAGCAAATAGGGATAGTTTGAGCTCTTATTTTTCTATTCATATCACTTTAATTTCTTTCTTTTGTCTAATTGCTTTAGCCAGGGTTTCAAGGTCTATGTTGAATAATAGTGGTACAAGAGGACATCCCTTTCTTGTTCCAAATTTTAGAGGAAATACTTCAAATTTTTCTCCATTTAGAATGATGTTGGCTTTGGGTTTAGTATACATAACTTTCACAATGTTGAGGTATATTCTTACTACCCCTAGTTTTTCTAGAGTATTGAACATGAATGGATGCTGAGTTTGGTAAAATGCTTTTTATGCATCTATTGAGATAATCAAGTATTTCTTATCTTTAAGTCTATTGATGTGATGAATTACATTTATTGATTTCTATATGATGAACCAACATTGCATCCCTGGGATGCACCTCCCTGATTGTTTTTTTTAATGGGCCCATTTTTACCAGTATTCCAAATACAAAGGAAGTCTATTTAAAAATACCATAGTAGTCATATACCTAAAATTTTCTCCATTTCAAGGTTTGGTTAATTTTCAATATATACGTACTACCTAGACATGAGATTTTATCTTATGGAGCTAGCCTAATCTTAATGTAATGCCTAAAATGATAGCATGATGAAAGAATTATTTCTTGAATGGAGATGCAAACATTTAAATTAAGAACTTAAAAAACAAAAGAAAGTATACTAACAGAACAACATGATTTTAAAAAAACTGTTTTCACTTATATATCTATTTATTTGAAATAGTCATATTAAATAACACCTACTGTGTGACAAACTTTAACCTGAGATCTTGTTCCATTTAATTATCTTTTTATAACCTTTATCACAAGGAAGCTCTGTTTTCACACTCTTTACCTGCCTGGTACCAACCTTATCCATCAAATGACCAATAACTACTGACTCTAAGAGAAGCTTTGTCAAGGGGCAGAGTGTCAAATCTCTTTTCTCTGCTTTTGTCCTCTTCACCTCTCCTCCAAAGTCATTTGATGCCAATACATGGCTCATTTTGCACACCCAGGCCTTCTGTGCTCCATAAATATCCCACAATATGAGATCTTTATTCTCCCTGATTTTCTCCTTCCACATCCAACCCCAATTTCTCCTGCTCTAAAATTGGGTTGTTGGTGGTTGATCCTGTATCGTGACTTCTTATTATACTTGCACTTGGAAAGCAGAGATATGGGTAGAAGTTTTAAATAAAAGAATCTTTACAATTTAAAAAAAAATTATTTGAAGTCGTGGTAAATATGCATAACTTAAGGCTTACCACTCCATCATTTTCATGTGCACAGTCTAGGGGTATTAAGTACAGTCACACTGTTGCACAACCATTCATCTGTGCAAAACGTTTTACTTTAAAAAACTGAAATCTATGCTACATTATATTTTTACAATCCAACATCATCCCAACGTATTCTGTATTCTTGTCATATATCAGAGGGGAATTTATAATTAATATTCCAGAATTTCTAGAATTGTTCTGTGTCAGTGTCTGGCAATGTGACCAGAAAGGATGGTGGATGATGGTGGAGAGGAAGGGGTGTGTGAACTCAATAATATTTGGGCCTGGATATCTATTTTTTTGTCTTTAAAATTATAATTATGAATGCATATTACTATTTTACTTGTACAAATTAATGTTTTTTCACTGTGACATTCCATATGTGAATATATTGTGCTTTGATCATGGCCATTCTTCCTTTTACTTTCCCTGTATTCCACCATCAATCCCCTAACCCCTGGTCCCCTTCATCTTCTAAAGTAGTCACTCTTCTAACATCTACTGTATACTTAGGACTCTACCTGACACGTAAATGCTTAAGAAGACCATACCAAGTTGTGTCTATAGTCCAGAATATGTCAATTGTCTCGTAGATTTTAATACAGGCCTTCATACTCTCAGGCATCAATTATTGACCAACTGCAATCCTTTGAAATATCACAAAAGTGCTTTGAGTTTAATAAAAGGAAGTAATAAGAAGTTGAGACATTACTGAGAGATACTGCATTTTTCCGTACTATACCCTGCATGCAGAGCAGTGACTAAAATTTATTAGGTGCACAATTCATATGTGTTAAATGGAACAAGTATAATGAATAAATGGCCTTAGTTGAGAAATCACCATTACCAGAAAGTTCATACTTCCTCTGCTCTAAAAGAAAGCAAATTGTAAGGAATTTTATCTTTTTAAATAAAAGGATTGCCAGGGGAGAAAGTAATACTATCTAATCCACATGCAAATATCTTGAATTTCAGAAGCATTTAAAAGTGATAATTGTGAATCCTAGACAGAAAAAAGACCAAAATTTAAGTAACTGAATTCATAAGAATGATCTGAGATCAAAGTCTCCTCCCTCCCACTCCCTCAATGTTTCACTGGTTCTAAGACAGGAAGCCCACGTAGGCAAGTCAGGCAGGGACTAAGGCTGCACTCCAATGCAAGTCTGGCCTCAAGGACTTTTCACATGGATGATGGCTTGGCCCCTTGTTTCCTGGAGTTTTCTCTCCACAGATTCAGATAAAGGAGCTTCTGAGTCTAGAGTCAACATATGAATTGATTCTCAGATACAGAGATAAGAATTTCAAGCCCAGATATTGTTTGGACACCAGATACAGAAAGAAAAGCTGAAAGCATTAAACTCAACACACTTTTATGATATTCCAGTGGATTGTGGTTGGTCCATAATTGATGTCTGAGAGTATGAAGGCATGTATTAAAATCCACAAGACAACTGATAAGTTCTGGGCTATATATACAACTTGGAATGGTCTTCTTAAGCATTTACATGTCAGGTAGAGTCCTCAGTATAAAGTATACCTGAGAAGTAATGATAGGGGTTCCTTATATTTACAAGGGCCACCTGGAGGTGAATATGTGCTAATAAATGAGGTCAGGGTGAGGACATAGTTCTGACTTCTGGAAGGAGTCCAGGAAGTCATTCTTCCTTGTTCAAGCCCTGCCCACCAGGGGGCGCAGTTTCCTAACACTAACTCACTTCCAGTGTGAATTGCAACATTAGGCTCATCTTTTCACTATGACTTCAACATTCTTCATGTTAAGAATCAAGAACATTATTTAGTAACAACACTGTAAAGATGGATGCTTTTCCAGGCTTAGTGATGGTGATGTTCCTGATACTTGGTGAGTAAAATGTCTTTTAAAATTTGAACTCCTACTTCTACAATGTTAGCAAAGTCTTCAACCATAAATTTATCTAAGAGCTTTATCCTAAGGTGACCCAAATTTCTTCCACCACCTAGGAAGGACTCATGGAAACTCAGTGACCCAGACAGAAGGTCAAGTGATCCTATTGGAGGGGGCTTTGCTGACTATAAACTGCACTTATTCAACCACAGGGTACCCTACTCTGTTCTGGTATGTGCAATATCCTGGAGAAGGTCCACAGCTTCTGTTTAGAGTCTCCAGGTCCAATGAAAAGGGCAGCAACAAAGGTTTTGAAGCCACATACAAGAAAAAAACCACTTCCTTCCACTTGGAGAAAGCCTCTGTCCAAGAGTCAGACTCGACTGTGTACTACTGTGCTCTGGGTGACACAGTGGCAGAAACTCCAGGGGGAACTGAGCACAAACTCTGAGAAGAAACCAGGGGCCTGGCTGCTGAGTGTTTGCTTCTGGGATCCATTCTGGTGTTAGCATATCTGTGGGTGTACCACCTGTATGTCTGGTTGATGCAAAATTATACAAATGTCCAGAGCAGCAGCAGAAGGAGTGGACATTACCCACACTCAGCTCTTTACTAGTGAAAATGAAAACAAAGGCTGACAGTGTTAGTTCCTCATTCAGAGCCAAATTAATTTCAAGGGAAAACCACCCTAACAATGAAGTGGTCTCTTTGCTCATCCTTGCAGACAAAGCCTCAACCCCCTGTGTTGTCCCAGGTCACCCTGGTAGACATTACTGTGGCTTGTTATATTTTTAGAAAGACAGATGTGCCAGAGGAGGTGGCGTCTGCATAAGGTCTCCCTAGCAGAATGTGGAAGGAGAGGTGATAGGAGAACTAGAGGCCCCACCCTTGCAACCCAAAATTGCTAATAGAAAAGGAAAGAAAGAGAAGGATGGAGAAGAAACAGACCTCTCACACGGCAACAGTGCAATGAGAGGAAAGGGATTTCCTCATGCAGGGGAAGGGCATCTCTTTTGGTTAATCAGATAGTGGATTCAGGCTGATGTTCAAAAGAAAGGGAGGGAGCAAATGCACAATTGGAAATCTGACTCTCTAAAGGATGAGTAGCTCTGGTCAGTTATATAGCCTGGACTGCTTTCTAAGACTGACTCAGGTGGGTCAGCTTGATGTGCCTGTGGCAGGTTAAATGTACACTTTTATTCTATATGTTCATGAAACCCCATTAGATGGCAGTGAAGAATCTCCAAAGGGCATAAACACGCAGAGTGTAGAAAAGAAGATGATGGCAGTGGTGTCAACAGAGTCTTAGAGAGTGAGAAATTCATGGAGAAACTTGTCTCACAGATCAAGTGAAGATGGAAGCTTCATGAGAGAGGCCACCAAGGAGCCTTGCTTGTGTGCTGTGCCTTCATGGAAGGTTTAGGAGTCAGAAACACCAGTTATCCTTAGACCATTGGAGAAGGTGGTGCTGTGTGTGTGTGTGTGTGTGTGTGTGTGTTTGTGTTTTGAGAGAGGACTTGAAAGGGACCGATGGAAAGAGAGGACCTAGTAAGAATGTGTACTAGTGACCGTCGCCCGTGCTGTCCACCACAGGCTGCAGACCAAGGAATGCTCTCTTCCCAAGCCCAGTAGAAAATTGGAAATGTATTTCATGAATTTAGGAACAACACAAAGAAAGAAAGCCAAAAGTACTCAAGAAGAACAATATGTTTTTCGATACTCAATATAAGGAAATAGTGCATTGTTCAAGAAAAGGCAAATACTGTGTATGTGGTTCACAAAATTGCCCCCTAAATAGGTTTCACTGTCCTATACTATTGATAGTGGTAATTGGGTAGGGTATCAGTTTTTCCCAAACCTTATGCATTATCACACTTTTTGCTTTTTCTTGTCCTTAGACTTTCCTTTTTGTATATATAACTCATTTAATTATGAATCAGGTGGAATTTCATTTAAAATTTTAAGTAATTTACATTTTCTGCCTGATCTGCCTACTTTAAAAAAATATTTACTTTTTAGTTGTAGTTGGACACACTACTTTTATTCCAGTCATTTAGTTTTATGTGGTGCTGAGGATCGAACCCAGGGCCTGCACATGCTAGGTGAGCCCTCTACCTCTGAGCCACAATCCCAGCCCCTCTCCCCACTTTTAAATATTATTATCTCTGTTCTTCTCATCTACGTTTGTTCCACCCATCACATGTTTGGAAACCCTCATCCCCTTTTTTAAAGGCTTAAATTTTTTGAGTATTTATGCTACAGCAAAATTGAGAGGAAGTTATAGAGCTTTCTCACATACTCACACTGGCCCCATCCAGACTTCCCTTATCAACACCCTCCGCCACAGAGAAACACTTGATGCCACCAGTGAACTACACTCCAACATCATTGTTACTCAAAGTCCCTGGTTTACATTAGGGATGATCTTTGGTGTTGTATATCACCTGGTTTAGACAAATGCATAAAGACATAAATCTAGCATTATAGCATTTACAGAACACTTTCATTTTCCTAAACTTCCTCAAAGTTGTTGATGATAATTATCATCCAGTCCTAATTCTTACAGGGATATTAAAGGCAAGGGAGTACTCTTATTTAGGAAATGAATGCCATAAAATGCTGAGTGTTAAAATGTTGAAGGTAGTTTGTTTATATATTTTCTATTTCAAATTGTTTTTATGATCTTGTCCATATGGTAGAATATTGAAGTTTTACTCTTTTGTTAGGTTCCTAGGGCTGCTATAACAAATTGCCAGGCTGAGGGGTTGGGGATATAGCTCACTTGGTGGAGTGCTTACCTCACATGCACAAGGCCCTGGGTTGAATTCCCAGAACAACAACAACAACAAAATAACTATTGCCAGGCTGTGTATTTTAAGCAACAGAAATATATTTTCTCCCAGTTCTGGAGTCTGCAAGTCCAAGATCAAATTTTCTGCAGGATCATTTCTCTGAGGCTTCTCTCCTTGGCCAGCAGGTGATGTCTTCTCACTAAGTCCTCAAGAGCTCTTCCTCTGAGGTTGCACAACTCCGTGCTCAAATTCCTCTTCTATTAAGAGCACCAGTCATTGTGGAGTCCATCTGTGACTTCATTTTACATTTTTTACTTCTTTAAAGACCCTGTCTTCATACAACATCATGTTCTGAATGTTCTAAGGGTCAGAGCTTCAACAGTTTGGGTGGGACACATTCAGTGCATAATAGTCATCCAAGTGCTTGTTGAAGCCTCCCTGATTGAACATTGTATGAATGTCTGGTGCACCCAATGAATAATTCTTAAAACATTCCAAATTGTAAAATAATGGAAATGGAGGGATGAGTGATAAAAATCTAAAAGCTGTGATTCAGATATGGGTTCTTTCTTCCCTGCTATCTTAGTATATGGAATTTCCTCATTTTTTATATTCCCTTTTTCTGAAAGGATAGCTTTCATTATTCTTGGTATTTTTTTCTTTCCCTAATTCTGGTTTTTTTTTTTTTGTCTGAATCCTATTTTTTTCCCTTAGTCTTTTTTTTTTCACCCTGTGGTCACAGATTGCTCCTCTGCAGGAGCTAATGATGTAGCTGAGTAAGTTGGTGTTCTCATCTTGCACTCCTTCTCTACCACCAGAATGGGGCCTGTTCACAGGGCATCTCTTTCGTGGGTGTGGTGGGTTTAGTGGATGTGGTGGGTTTAGTGGATGTGGATGGAGGATGTGGCTCCAGTCCTCACACACAGGGGCACCAGGAAGAATTGCATTCGATATGTTCTGCTTTCCTGGTTATTTCACTTTTTTTTTTTTTTTTTTTTTGCATTATAATTTTTTATTGTGGGTTGTTCAAAACATTACAAATTTCTTGACATATCATATTCCACACTTTGATTCTAGTGGGTTATGAACTCCCACCTTCACCCCATACACAGATTGCAGATTCACATCAGTTACACATCCATTGATTTACAAATTGCCATACTAGTGTCTGTTGTGCTCCGCTGCCTTTCCCATCATCCACCCTCCCCCCTCCCCACCTCTCCCCTCCCCTCCCCTCCTCTCTCTCTACCCCCTCCACTGTATAACCCTGAGGGTCTCCTTCCATTACCGTGCAATTTACCTTCTCTCTCCCTTTCCCTCCCACCTCTCATCCCTGTTAAATGTTAATCTTCTTCTCCTGTTCTTCGTCCCTACTCTGTTCTTAGTTACTTTCCTTATATCAAAGAAGACATTTGGCATTTGTTTTTTAGGGATTGGCTAGCTTCACTTAGCATAATCTGCTCTAATGCCATCCATTTCCCTGTAAATTCTATGATTTTGTTATTTTTTAATGCAGAGTAATACTCCATTGTGTATAAATGCCACATTTTTTTTATCCATTCGTCTATTGAAGGGCATCTAGGTTGGTTCCACAGTCTTGCTATTGTGAACTGTGCTGCTATGAACATCGATGTAGCAGTGTCCCTGTAGCATGCTCTTTTTAGGTCTTTAGGGAATAGACCAAGAAGGGGAATAGCTGGGTCAAATGGTGGCTCCATTCCCAGCTTTCCAAGAAATCTCCATACTGCTTTCCAAATTGGCTGCACCAATCTGCAGTCCCACCAGCAATGTACAAGTGTACCCTTTTCCCCACATCCTCGCCAGCACTTGTTGTTGTTTGACTTCCTAATGGCTGCCAATCTTACTGGAGTGAGATGGTATCTTAGGGTGGTTTTGATTTGCATTTCTCTGACAGCTAGAGATGTTGAGCATTTTTTCATGTACTTGTTGATTGACTGTATGTCCTCCTCTGTGAAGTGTCTGTTCAGGTCCTTGGCCCATTTGTTGATTGGGTTGTTTGTTCTCTTATTGTCTAATTTTTTGAGTTCTTTGTATACTCTGGATATTAGGGCTCTATCTGAAGTGTGAGGAGTAAAGATTTGTTCCCAGGATGTAGGCTCCCTATTTACCTCTCTTATTGTTTCTTTTGCTGAGAAAAAACTTCTTAGTTTGAGTAAGTCCCATTTGTTGATTCTAGTTATTAACTTTTGTGCTATGGGTGTCCTATTGAGGAATTTGGAGCCCGACCCCACCGACTGTAGATCGTAGCCAACTTTTTCTTCTATCAGACGGCGCGTCTCTGATTTGATATCAAGTTCCTTGATCCATTTTGAATTCACTTTTGTGCATGGCGAGAGAAAGGGATTCAGTTTCATTTTGTTGCATATGGATTTCCAGTTTTCCCAGCACCATTTGTTGAAGATGCTATCCTTCCTCCATTGCATGCTTTTAGCCCCTTTATCAAATATAAGATAGTTGTAGTTTTGTGGATTGGTTTCTGTGTCCTCTATTCTGTACCATTGGTCCACCCGCCTGTTTTGGTACCAGTACCATGCTGTTTTTGTTACTATTGCTCTGTAGTATAGTTTGAAGTCTGGTATCGCTATACCGCCTGATTCACACTTCTTGCTTAGCATTGTTTTTGCTATTCTGGGTCTTTTATTTTTCCATATGAATTTCATGATTGCTTTCTCTATTTCTACAAGAAATGCCATTGGGATTTTGATTGGCATTGCATTAAACCTATAGAGAACTTTTGGTAATATCGCCATTTTGATGATGTTAGTTCTGCCTATCCATGAACAGGGTATATTTTTCCATCTTCTAAGATCTTCTTCTATTTCTCTCTTTAGGGTTCTGTAGTTTTCATTGTATAAGTCTTTCACCTCTTTTGTTAGGTTGATTCCCAAGTATTTTATTTTTTTTGAAGATATTTTGAATGGAGTGGTTGTCCTCATTTCCATTTCAGAGGATTTGTCGCTGATATACAGGAATGCCTTTGATTTATGCGTGTTGATTTTAAATCCTGCCACTTTGCTGAATTCATTTATTAGCTCTAATAGTTTCTTTGTAGAGCCTTTTGGGTCTGCTAGATATAGAATCATATCATCTGCAAATAGTGATAATTTAATTTCTTCTTTTCCTATTTTTATGCCTTTAATTTCTTTCGTCTGTCTAATTGCTCTGGCCAGTGTTTCGAGAACTATGTTGAAGAGAAGTGGAGAGAGAGGGCATCCCTGTCTTGTTCCAGATTTTAGAGGGAATGCCTTCAGTTTTTCTCCATTCAGAATAATGCTAGCCTGAGGCTTAGCATAGATTGCTTTTACAATATTGAGGTATGTTCCTGTTATCCCTAGTTTTTCTAGAGTTTTGAACATAAAGGGATGCTGTACTTTGTCAAATGCTTTTTCCGCATCTATCGAGATGATCATATGGCTCTTATTTTTAAGTCTATTGATGTGGTGAATAACATTTATTGATTTCCGTATATTGAACCAGCCTTGCATCCCAGGGATGAATCCTACTTGATCATGGTGTACAATTTTTTTTATATGTTTTTGTATCCGATTCGCCAGAATTTTATTGAGGATTTTTGCATCTAGGTTCATTAGAGATATTGGTCTGTAGTTTTCTTTCTTTGAAGTGTCTTTGTCTGGTTTAGGTATCAGGGTGATGTTGGCCTCATAGAATGAATTTGGAAGTTCTCCCTCCTTTTCTATTTCCTGAAGTAGCTTGAAAAGTATTGGTATTAGTTCTTCTTTAAAGGTTTTGTAAAATTCTGCTGTATACCCATCGGGACCTGGGCTTTTCTTAGTTGGTAGTCTTTTGATGGTTTCTTCTATCTCCTCAATTGATATTGGTCTGTTTAGGTTTTCTATATCCTCCTGACTCAATCTGGGCAGATCATATGACTTAAGAAATTTATCGATGCCTTCACTATCTTCTAATTTATTGGAGTATAAGGATTCAAAATAGTTTTTGATTATCTTCTGTATTTCTGAAGTGTCTGTTGTGATATTGCCTTTTTCATCCCGTATGCTAGTAATTTGAGTTCTCTCTCTTCTTCTCTTCACTAGCATCGCTAAGGGTCTGTCGATTTTGTTTATTTTTTCAAAGAACCAACTTTTAGTTTTGTCAATTTTTTCAATTGTTTCTTTTGTTTCGATTTCATTAATTTCAGCTCTGATTTTAATTATTTCTTGCCTTCTACTTCTTTTGCTGTTGTTTTGCTCTTCTTTTTCAAGGATTTTGAGATGAAGTATGAGATCATTTATTTGTTGGTTTTTTCTTTTTTTAAGGAATGAACTCCAAGCAATGAATTTTCCTCTTAGAACTGCTTTCAATGTGTCCCATAGATTCCGATATGTTGTGTCTGTGTTTTCATTTATCTCTAAGAATTTTTTAATTTCCTCCTTGATGTCTTCTATAACCCATTGATCATTCAGTAACCTATTGTTCATTCTCCAATTGATGTATGCTTTTTCCTTCCTTCTTTTATCGTTGATTTTCAGTTTCATTCCATTATGATCAGATAAGATGCATGGTAATATCTCTACTCCTTTATATTGTCTAAGAGTTGCCCTGTGACATAATATGTGATCTATTTTTGAGAAGGATCCATGTGCTGCTGAGAAAAAAGTGTAACTGCTTGATGTTGGGTGGTATACTCTATATATGTCAATTAGGTCTAGGTTATTAATAGTGTTATTGAGTTCTATAGTTTCCTTATTCAACTTTTGTTTGGAAGATCTGTCCAGTGGCGAGAGAGGTGTGTTGAAGTCTCCCATGATTATGGTGTGGTGGTCTATTAGACTCTTGAACTTGAGAAGAGTTTGTTTGACGAACATAGGTGCACCATTGTTTGGGGCATAAATATTTATGATTGTTATGTCTTGTTGGTGTATGGTTCCCTTAAGCAGTATGTAGTGTCCCTCTTTATCTCTTTTGATTAACTTTGGCTTGAAATCTATTTTATTTGATATGAGTATGGACACGCCTGCTTGTTTCCGAAGTCCATATGAGTGATATGATTTTTCCCAACCTTTCACCTTCAGCCTATGTATGTCTTTTCCTATCAAATGCGTCTCCTGTAGGCAGCATATTGTTGGGTCTTGTTTTGTGATCCATTCTACTAGCCTGTGTCTTTTAATTGGTGAGTTTAAGCCATTAACATTTAGGGTTATTATTGAGATATGGGTTGTTCTTCCAGCCATATTTGTTTATTTCTGTTACTAAACATTGTTTGTTTTCCTCTTTGATTGTTTCCCCCCCCCTTTACTGTCCTACCTCCCACTGTTGGTTTTCATTGTTATTTTCCATTTCCTCTTCCTGTAATACTTTGGCTAGGATGTTTTGAAGAGATGGTTTTCTAGCTGCGAATTCTTTAAACTTTTGTTTATCGTGGAAGGTTTTAATTTCATTCTCCATCCTGAAGCTTAATTTCGCTGGATACACAATTCTTGGTTGGAACCCATTATCTTTCAGTGTTTGAAATATGTTATTCCAGGATCTTCTAGCTTTCAGAGTCTGTGTTGAAAGATCAGCTGTTATCCTGATTGGCTTGCCCCTAAATGTAATCTGCTTCCTTTCTCTTGTAGCTTTTAAAATTCTCTCCTTATTCTGTATGTTGGGCATCTTCATTATAATGTGTCTAGGTGTGGATCTCTTATGATTTTGCACATTCGGCGTCCTGTAGGCTTCTAGGATTTGGGATTCTGTCTCATTCTTCAAGTCTGGGAAGTTTTCTTGTATTATTTCATTGAATAGACTGCTCATTCCTTTGGTTTGGAGCTCTGTACCTTCCTGTATCCCAATGACTCTTAAGTTTGGTCTCTTAATGTTATCCCATATTTCTTGGATGTTCTGCTCATGGTTTCTTAACAGTCTTGCTGAGCTGTCTATGTTCTTTTCCAGTTGAAATACTTTGTCTTCATTGTCTGATGTTCTATCTTCTAAGTGTTCTACTCTGTTGGTAGTATTCTCCATTGAGTTTTTAAGTTGGTTTATTGCTTCCTGCATTTCTAGGATTTCTGATTGCTTGTTTTTTATAACCTCTATCTCCCTGTATAGTTGATCCTTTGCTTCCTGGATTTGTTTGCGTAATTCGTTGTCGAAGTGATCTTTCATTGTCTGATTTTGCTGTTTAATGTCTTCCTTGATACTCCAGATCATCTGAAGCATGTATATCCTGAATTCTTTATCTGACATTCCATCTGCTGCAGCTGTTACCTATTCTAAAGTTGCGTTGACCTGCATTGCTTGTGGTCCTTTCTTTCCTTGTCTTTTCATACTGCTTGCGTATCTTTCCTGCAGGTGCGGGCGGCGGCTCTGCTCTCTCCTTATTCCAATTGGGGTGTCGTGGCTACCACGCCGGCAGGTCACTGGGCCTGTTCTGGGAGCTGGTGGCGGCTCTGTTCTGCCCCTACTCCAATTGGGGTGACGTGTCTGTCGTACCAGCAGGCCACTGGGCCTGTCCTGCTGGTCGGTCGCAGATCTGCCCACCTTTCGGGCACGAGTGGAGGCTCTGCTTTGCCCCTACTCCAATTGGGGTGTCGTGACTACCCCGCCTGCAGGATGCTGGGTCTGTTCCTGGCAAGGGAGGCGACTCTGCTCTGTCACTACTCCAATTAGGGTGGTGTTTGTACCCCGCCAGCAGGCTCCTGGGCCTGATCCGCCGGTCTGTTGTAGGTCTGCCTACCTTGAAGGCGCGGGCGGCGGATCTGCCCTGCCCCTCCTACCACGCCTGCGGACCCCTGGGCCTGATCTGCAGGTTGATCACTGGTCTGCTCACCCTGCGGGCACGGGTGGCGGTTCCGCTCCACCCCCACTCCAATTGGGGTCACGTGACCACCACACCGGCAGGGCCTGATCCGGGCGTGGGATAAGGATCTGCTCTGCCCCTACTCGAGTTGGGGTGACGTGTGTACCACACTGGCAGGCCACTGGGCCTGGCCCGCCAGGCTGTCACAGGTCTGTTTACCTTGCAAGCGCGAAGGGCGGCTCTGCCCTGCCCCTCCTACCACGCCCATGTACTACTGGGTCGTGGGTCTGCCCACCTGGCGGGTGTGGGTGGCGGCTCCGCTCCGCCCCCTCTCCAATTGGGGTCACGCGGTCACCACACTGGCGAGCCGCTGGGCCTGCTCCGGGGGCTGGCGGCGGCCCGGCTCCTTCCCTCTGGCTCGAGTACAAATTGAGGAGACTCGGGTGACTGAGCCTCACCCCCCTTACCAGGAGACCAACTGCTTATGTCACCGCTGGTATTGATGAAGATCTGTCCTCCACCGCTTTCTGCTGACATCAGATCTCTGCCATGTTGGTATCCTATGCGAATGGCAGCATTTCGTTCCCCTTGCCAGGCAACCCAAGCAATGGGTGAGTCCTGACCTGCCCTCAGCAGGACCCGGACCGAGACGCAGTTTCCGCGGGCTCCTAGCCCCGGTCCAGGGAAGTTCCGGGAGCCGGAACTCGGCCGCTCCGTGCTCGGTGTAAGCTCCTATAAGTGTAGGCTCCAAGAAGCAGCCCCCGCGGGCTCAGTTCCGGGAGCCGGAATTCGGCCGCCTAGTGTTTGGTGTATGCTCTGATAGTAGCAGGGTCCAAGAAGCAGCCTCCGCGGGCTCCGCAGCCCTGAGCCAGGGCGGTTCCGGGACGGTTCCGGGAGCCGGAACTCGGCCGCTCTGTGCTCGGTGTAAGCTCCTATAAGTGTAAGCTCCAAGAAGCAGTCCCCGCGGGCTCAGTTCCGGGAGCTGGAATTCGGCTTCTTGGTGTTTCGTGTTTGCTCTGATATTAGCAGGGTCCAAGAAGCAGCCTCCGCAGGCTCCGCAGCCCGGAGCCAGGGCGGTTCCGGGACGGTTCCGGGAGCCGGGACTCGGCCGCCCCGCGCTCCGTGTTCACTCCGATAAGATCAGATTTTAAGAAGCCCCCAGGCGCTGAACCCTAGCAATCTGTCTGCAAGCCGCAGGCGAATTGCAGCCTGAAATTACCTGTTCTATGGCTGAATGAGCTGCGGTCAGTCAAAAACAGGTGTGGTGACGTCAGTTTACCAACATGGTGGCTGCTGGCCTCCTCTGTGGTCTGACCGGTGTGGAGAACCGAGATGGACCGCTTCCTTCCCCGTCTCGAACCCAGAATTCAGCCCTGAGTGCGGTGCTTGCGCGTCTGGCAGAAACTGCAGCGCTGTAACCCTGCGTCTCTATCCCAGCGCGCCTTGCAGACTCTAGCCGCGGGGCGATTTGCTGAATAAGCAGTGTTACCCTCCGTGCGACAAACCTCTCGCGTTTGAGTCCCCGTAGCCGATCCTCATGCGATGGAAATCCTTCCTCCAGGTTCCGGCGCACCCCACTATTGCTGGAAATTCCTAACAAGATATCCTTTAGCCGTCCTGACTTGTCATACTCCCACACAGTGAAGCAGCACACGGGGGTAATGCACTCCCCTCGCCGCCATCTTCCCCTGCATATTCTTTTCTGGTTATTTCACTTTAAGCTTTTCACAAGCAGCATGTAGTAAGATGTTCAGTTTTGATTTTAATCAGATAATCTTTTTTGGTGTATTGATAGATTTTGATTGAGTTGCTTGGCATACTCTTGGTTTTTCCTTTCGTTTTTCAAAGTCTGTTTTCTGTTCCATTGAAAAATTTTTAACTTATCCATTTTTTACTTTTTAACATTTTAGAAAATGTAGAGAATATTTCTGTTGTTATGATAACTATGTTTAAATTATGTATATACATAAATACACATGTATGTCATCATATAAACACTATATCTTTTTCTTTGACCTATATTATTATTATTTTTCTTTCCACAGTGATATTCTACTGTATTTACTCCTTGTATATCCTATTTCTTCCCTAGCTGTTTTACTATCTTTAGAATCATCTCAGTGACTGGTTGGTGGAAACTACACGCCAGCTATGTGTAGGACAGTAATTTCATAGTTTATCTAATTTGTTGAAAAGCTACAGCTACAATGTAAAATTAAGAAAAGCAATAAAACAAAATCCATCCACACAGTAATCAGAACATGAATTCACTCTCTTCCTCCTACAGGATGCTGTCCCTGGACTTCCCCATCTCTAGTGTTTTCACCTGCTCCCAAGTGGACTTTTCTTTTTAGTTCCTCCTTGTCTCTGTACCTAGAGGAAAATGGCCACATGTGGATACAGAGGAATGCCTTGCACAGTTTACTGCCATGTTATATTTCATAGCAAATAACCAATAACAGCTGGAGTGTTCGTCAACAGAGGAAGGACCGTACAAACTAGATAAGCCATGATGTGGTGCCAGGCAGCAGCAGAACCTATCTCTGCTAACATGATAAGATCTACAGGATTTATTATTGAGTTCATAAAACCAGTTACAGAAAGCTATGCACAGGACATATCATATTGCATCAAGTAAAAAACTATTAATGGAATACTATGTATTGTCTGTCATTTCACATATTTGTAGATGATGTAGATTTACAGTAAAACATCTGGGAGCTTCACCTGCAAATTGAACGATGAAGGGAGAGTTGGGGTGATGAGTGATGAAAGGGCCAGGATTGTAGGGGAAGTCAGAGGGGACTTTGGTCCATATGTAGTATTGTATGACTTTCAATAATTCCTATATTCATTAATTCCTCATTATATCAAAACCAATGGAAAGTCATAAAAGCCATCATCAAGAGTTATCCATATTCTTGTCTATTCTTCTTATAACAAGGCAGAGGAGGGAGGAGAGATTGTTCACTTTCTTCAGAAGATTTTGTCAAAGCCTCCAATAGATAAGTGCTTCTGTCTCTGAGATCATGTACCCTCACTTCATCATTCTCTTAGGGTCCTGCACTTATCTGTTTATATTATAGATATATGTATTTTTGTCTTTTCCTGTAGAATTTCACTAGTGTCTCTTCCCTTTTAAATACACTTATTATTCACTCCTAGTAAAATGTGAATGTTGTTTATTGATTTTTTGGACTAAATTAGAGAAATATAAAAATAATTTTAGGATAAATACTAACTTATTTTAAAATGGATTATACAAATTAGGCATGGTGGCTCAGGTTTGTAATCCCAGAGGCTCAGGAGACTGTGGCCAAAGGATTATAAGTTCAAAGACAGCCTCAGCAACTTAGTGAGATCCTGTCTCAAAAATAACTCAAAGTGGATCAAGGACTGAGGCATTAGACCAGAGACCCCACACCTAACCAAAGAAAAATTAGGCCCAAATTACATCATATTGGCTTGGGAACCAAGACTTCCAAACAGACTCCTAAAGCACAAGAAGTAAAATCAAGAATTAACAAATGGGATGGAATCAAACTAAAAAAATTATTCACAGCAAAGGAAAGATTCAATAAAATAAAGAGAGAGCCTACAGGATGAAAATCTTTGCCCCAAACTCAAGATTTAATACCAAAAAACCAAATAACTCAATCAATAAATGGGCAAAGGAACTAAACAGGCACTTCACAAAAGAAGAAATATGGTCAGTCAACAAATACATGAAAAAATGATCAACAACATCTCTAGCAATTAGAGAAATGCAAATTAAAGCTACACTGAGATTTCTTGTCACTCCAGTCAGAATGCCACTTATCAATAATACAAGTAACAATAAATGCTAGTGAGGATGTGGGGGAAAAGTACACTCATACATTGCTGGTGGGACTGAAAATTGCTGTAACCATCCTGAAAAGCATTATGGAGATTCCTTAGAAAACTTGGAAAGGAACCACCATTTAACCCAGTTATCCAAATTCTTGGTAAAGGACTTAAAATCAGAATAGTATAGTGATACTGTGACATCAATATTTATAGCAGCTCGATTCATAATAGCTAAATTATGGAACCTGCCTAGGTGTCTTTCAACAGATGAATGAATAAGGAAAATGTGGTACATATACACAATGGAATATTAATCACCCCTAAAGAGAAATTAAATTATGGCATTTGCTAGTAAATGAAGGAACTGGAAGCTATCATGCTAAGTGAAACAAGCCAATCCCAAAAAATGAAAGGCCAACCATTCTTTCTGATATGTGGATGCTAACTTAAAGGAGGTGAGTAGAGAAAAATAGAAGCTCATTGGATTGGACAAAAGGAAATGAAGGGAAGGGAGGGGGAATGGGAATAGGAAAGATAGTAGACTGAACCAGACATTACTTTCCTATGTTGATATATGAATACCCAACAATGTAATTCCACATCATATACAACCAGAAGAATGGGAAGTTGTATATATGTACAATACGTCAAAATACATTCCACTGTCATGTGTATCTAAAAAGAACAAATAAAAGAAAAAAAAAAAGTACTGTGGATGTGGCTCAGTGGTTGAGCCCCAAAGGTTCA